TGAGTTGCATATTGATCCTGGGCTACTAAGAACAAAAAAAAATACCAACAGAGATGCACGAAAAAAAGAAAGGAATACAGGAGAAGTGGAAGTTATGTATGATAAAATAATCGAGAGAAGATAGAATGCAATCTAACTAATCACACTCTCAAAGAAAAAAATGCACACACATGCCAACTACAAATCACTTCATAAAATACTTCTCAGGAAAAAGTTATTCGCATGGCAAACAGCCAAAGAGTAATTATTCTTAGTGGCCTCAACCTTTTTTAATGAACGAGTGGAAAGAAGCATCTAATGGGTGGATGAGGTATGTGAGCACTAAGTCTACTGGTATTAGCAAATATACATTCCCTTAATTGACTTAATGTCCTAAATGTAAATCAAAACCAAGTTTTATAAACAGCTCATTTACTAAGGCTGTGTGTGGGCACATGTAATTTCTTAATAACATTCCTAAATAATGGAAGTAATATATAATAAGAATAATGGAGAAAAGATAGGTTGCAATGTGATTAATCGCTCTCTCACAAAAATGCACAACACGTGCCAACTATAAATCACATCATAAAATTCCTCTCATGAAAAAGTTATCCGCATGGCAAACAGCCAGACAGTAACCAGTCTTAGTGCCTCAACTTTAAAAGAACTCGTAGAAAGAAGCATCTAATTGGTGGATGAGGTATGTGAGCACTAATCCATTGGCATTAGCAAATATGCATTCCCTTAATTGACTGAAGTTCCTAAAAGAAAACTTTTTTAAAAAAAATAAAAAAGTAAGGTATATATTAACAAGGTACCAAAATGAGGGTACCGTCCATATACAAAAGATTTACAAACATGTTAGTGTTTTAATGACATTATCAAAATTCACATCACTAATGATGTTATGACCTAACAGTAAATTAAAAACAGAATTTTATAAATAGGTCATTTACTAAGGATGTGTGTGCAAGTATAACTTTTTAATAGCATTACTGAATAAGTAAATGTACATAAACGATATTGTCTTCTTTAACAAGAAGAACATGTACAAAAATAAGTGATTTGAGATCGAGGAAAAAAAAAAAAAAACTAGTGGAAGATTTTCACATGGCACTGACCAACCAGACAATCTTAGTCTTGATGGACTAGGCCCTAAACCAGATTAGTTTACCCTTCATTTCATTTCATGGCCACCTTTAGAGCCCACAAACCCTTCTCATTTCATGACCATTATCATCTTCCTCAACTCTTGACGCAATGAAGTAACTACAGGAGATTGAATTGTCCTTCTATTGTTATTTTTATTTAGAATATTATGTGTTTTAAGATTCCTAATTAATTCTGATCTAGTTATTGGTTATTCTCTTATTTATAAGTAATATTTAATTAGTATGGTTTCCTTTTTTTCTAGTTTCCTTTTCTCTAGCAATTCTTTTTCTTTCTGGATAGATATTACAGACATAGACACGTACCGAATCATGACGGAGATCCTTTCTTTCAATGT